GTCTTAAAGATACTGCCCGCGATCAGCTGACACTTCATCTCCCTTCGTGGGCAGGTACTAGACAGGCCCACAGAGACAGCGATTGCACCATTTTTGCGCATAGGTAGGGAAGAAGGCGGAGACATTGTCGTTCCTCTCATTGGCCCGACCCATTTTCATTGACCCCGCCCGCAGCTCTGCTATCCATAATGATAGAAGACTTGCTAAAGAACATCGGTAGAGAAATTACTGGCAACAGGAAATCAGCTGTGAGGCGCAACCACATCGACCACAACAGCACTCGCCCGGTGATCTCGTCCGATCACTCTCTTTGCTCTTCCTCTGCTCGTACAAGTGTGCTCGCAGAGGGGTTTTATTGGGGGCATTTGCGACCATTTTTTCTGTTTTTCTGAGTTATTGACTTTGTTGACATCTTGGCGGAACTGATCGGTGATATTAAATTAACACCTTTGGTAGCGTTTTTTGTTCCTTGGTTGTCCATTTTGGCATTATAGAGGTTCTTTTCACACTCGATTCTCGTTCCTTCCCACACTAAATGCCCTCTAAGGTACAAAAAAAATCAGAAAAAGTAGAAGTAGAGTTGGAAGTGCGGGCGCGGGTACCTAGCTTTCCTAGGTTTCCATGAGTTCGCAGTCCTCCCTCAAAATGGCTCAAAACCTTCACAGGAATTTGCAACTCCTCTGCTTAGCCTAATTGTGCCGTCATATTTTCATGTATATGTGTATAAACACAACAATTGTACATTTGTAGCTGGATTATTTTTAGGTACGATCGCAATAAAATCCGAGACTCAGTATGTAGGGAGTCGATCGGTAATATAGCAGAAGCCAGGGAACGCTTTGAAATGCAAGACTTTTCTCGGTCTAACAAAGGTTGGTTCACTTGCATATAGTTTAGTGTCGACTAAACTTGTATCTCTGGCTAGGGTAAAGCACCATTTAATTTAAATGTTAAGTTTATATCCAAAAACTGGGCAATGTGTTAGCGCTTGTTTGCCCGAAACATGTGAAACAAACAATTTAAACGGCAAACAAAAGTTGACGCGTTTCGCGATAACTGGATAAAATAGGCGAGACTTCACTCACTCATTCTATCTGGCCTGCTGTTCGGCATGTCTCTTTCGATTGCCAAGCATAGAGGGAGCGTAAATCATGACGGCAGAAAGGCGCAATGGACATGCGGGTCGTTATTCATTTCTCCGCCCACCTTATTATCGCGGAAGGTTTTCAAATTGAAAAGCAAGGACAGATAGCCAAAGATGTGATTCAGTACGCGCTCGAACGAAGCCACCGTATTTAAGACGAAGGCACAGAACTCAAAATTATCCTTGCCGAGCACCACCTAACGCCCATTTCTAGGACGGCGATGTTTCCCAACTAGGATCGTTTCCTGCAATTCCCATATCGCCTTGCTTTCCCCTGCTGGAAATCTCACGTTTTTATATGCCTACGCCCTTTAAAGTGATGAAGTGGCTCGATGGAGCAGTCATTTGTCGAGGTCTTGTTGTTGTTGTGAGACAATTCAATTCGTTTCTAGCGCCTCGCTATCAACGTAGCACAACTCGACCAATTCCGTCATCAGAGAGTGAATCCATTGGAAGAATGACGCCCAGTCAGCACTCTTTACGTTCGGAAGAATCTCAGGTTGTACCTGACGATATGCTTTTCATAGCTATCCATACAGTTCAGTAGTATGAAAGCAATTTGTTTTAGGTCCAATCGAGCACATATTATGGCACTGAGGGAACTGGAGACCGAACCTCATCGTATTCAAATGGTCAGTTTTAAATACAAGAGATTTATTTCAGATGAAGTGGACTATCGCCTTTCACAGAATCACTCTTCACTCAGGGCCGGTTTGAATCTGTCTTTTCTCTCTTAAAATGGATGTGGTGAGAAATGTCCGGTACTAGTCTGACTCATAAGAACGAAAATGGTATCCCTTCAGAAGAAAAAGTCTGACTCCGCAATACAGCGCAAGCGCCACGTCTGGCCCGGCATTATTTCTGGCGCCGACATCCATGAGAGACGTACCAGGTGCTTTAACGCCAAGCTCGTGTAACTTTCGGCGTAAAGGGGTCAAGAGCACTCTGGGAAGCACCTAGATATAATTTCATTGATTCTCCTCAGCTAGGCTTTGCGGAATTTGTGAAGCAGGGGTGGGGCCAGTAAAGGTAGCGCACATACCTTGAAAATAACACCAGGCTCGTTTGAGTTGGATCAGTCGCTCACGAGAATGGTTATACAGCTCATAGCGTCTCTACCTGCGTCTGGAGCAGACTGCCCAATATATTCCAGCCAACTCTTGTCAAAACACTTTTCTGTTCGCAGATGGTGGGAGATTTGAACTTGAAGTGGCGAAGCCAATGAACTTAAGAAGCAGAAGCAAAGAACCCCAATCTTCTAGCAAAGCTCTGGCATTCAATCCCATTATTACGTCATGTAACACTCAACAACAACCTTTTTCTCGGTGGGGGGGGGAAACTCCGCCTGAGAGGTAATTCAGTGTCCTAATCACGAATATGGCTTTTCGTCGTTAGTGCCACCGAATTTCTCAACGTTTCACCAACTAGGGAAAAGCTCCTATAGTAGGGTAGTTTGACGTCCTGGTTACGAATATAGAATCCTTCAGAACCAGTTTGGCTCTGTGCTGAGGGTGAGCGAGGAGAAGGAGTGGTTTCTTTCTCGCCAGGCTTTAGCTGAGTGGAGGTGATCAGAGTGCCCGATACTAGAGCTGCTGCCGAAGATTGCATATTCATGAGCATGGTTCTAAATAACATTAGCAGGCGCGTTTATACAATTTTTGGGAAAAAGGCCGGTTGACGCCAAAAATTGTTATTTCGCTCGGACCCTGTATTAGCCCGAAACAGGCTTTTTCGCCAAATTGGCGCCAAACGGCGCCAGCGCCATAAATGAATTCCACTTTTGTGATCAGGGCACCGGGTGACTCAAATAGGCCAAGTTTCAGCGGAAAAATCCTTTTGAGGCTCTGGGGTAGCGAGAATGGAGAGGACCAGTGCCAAACTTTTTTCACGAACGACGTCGATCGACGCGGATCACCTGGGCCGGTGCGTCCTCTCATTGCGCTGCAGTTTTCCAACCCACGAAATTTGCCCTTTCTTGATAATTCTGCGCACAAACTTGGCAGCTACCTATCACATTCCCAAGCCACGTGCGATACGCGCTAAATGGGACTCCGCTGTAACACGGTTGAATCTGCAAACTCTGATTTTTGTGGCAATCTTCCCTGAGGATCCGTTGTCCTCGGCACTTGGGCCGGTCCAGGTCTAAAGCAGATGGCGTTCCTTGACCAGCAAAGGTAAAAGTTATCCCAAGCGGAAGCGATCGTGCCTTTTCGATACCATATTATGCTGTATGCTATGCTGTACTATGGGAGATAGCACCAGGACCTAGCTCAGAGCAAATGCCGCGTGTGGATCCAGCCACATTGCCAATCGGTGGAGGTTCATATATCAAAGCGTAACGATAACGGTGCCTTCATCCGCCGTTTCGAATATGAGAACAACCGACCGGACGGAGTGCCAAGCGACAACGCCACATAAACGAATTCCGAAACTGCTGCGGAAAGATTTTATGCAAGATCCGAAAAATAGCCATGATTTTTTGATACTCTCGTATTTGTGTGCTCATCTTTTCAGGATCCGAAAGCACCGAGAAGTTGATAGGTCCAAGTCTGGATGAAATCTACTCCAACGAAGAGCAGCTTTTTATGCTCTACATGAAACAGAACCCAGGCATCCTTTCG